ATATGTGATATTACTGTCTTTTCTGCATGTGTGAATTACTGTTTTTTCCAGCATGTGTGAATTACTTCTGTTTTTTTTTTTTCAGCATGCATGAATTACTGTCTTAATGGTATGTGTACATTGTGTCTTAACAAGGGTGTGAATTACTGTCTTAACGGTTTGTGTGAATTATCTTCTTTCGGTATTTATGAATTACTGTCTTTAATGCGTGTATTTACTACCTTCTTCGCTATGTTAGGCGTAATGGGCCTATAGTGCTAGACTTCTATTTAGTGTACCAAGTGGCACTCTGTGGGTGATGTGGTCAACATCAAACCGACTGCCTTTACTTCCAATGGCCACCTGATGTCTATTTAAGGCCTGGTCGACTTGGGAGCCAAGGTGTATTTTTCATTGGGGGGGGGGGGGGATATTAGCTTCGTATTTGAACATACGTGATCCGGGTGCAATGGCTAGCTATTAGTCACTACACCACGGCAATTCCCATTGTACAGTGTGAGGCTTGTTTAAGATTAGACTAGCATACAGGACTGACGACTTTCTCATCATAAAGGATAAATTACCATGCGAAGAGATCCCTGGGAGGTCCCACAAATCGTGCTTACTGACTCAGGCCCTTACTAAACATAGGGCTTCGATGAAAAAACGATGACTTTTTTTTTCCAAATCAAAGCACAATTTCTCTCCACTAACCAACCAACATTTAACGCGATGGCATAGTCAATACAAATTCCCTGTCAGTTTCAAAGCTTGCGCCCGTTCAAATAAACTCATTATCGGTTCCTATGTGGGTACTTGGGGTCCCATAGTGGGTTCCTAAAAAGGGCACACGGTTTATAGGACAGGTTCAAAACTAAGCATTTTTTATGTCCTTGCCTCTCTAACAAGCATCACGTCGGTCGCCTTGACTTCCCCACTTCTTTTCCCAACTATTACCAAATCGGTACAGAGACGTCGCCTAGTGTTGGCCACGAGGAAAACAGAGCTACAGACAAGAATTTGAGAACTACAGGGGTATACACTAGATGGTTATCCAAGGGAGAAGATGCCTGAGAATGAAAGAGAGGACCCCCCACGCAACAGCAGTATTCTATTAGTCTGAAATAGAGGAAGCCTGGGAAATATCTGTCAAGACAGGGGCGCCGCTTAGAGGAACACTTGGAAAGAGTTTCGCTTTTCTTTCCAACTATTAACAGCACAAATCGGTATAGGGGCTAGGGGCTCCCCTACCATCAAGCACCAGACCGATCTGGTGTCGCTCCTGTATTTTCGAACTTTTTTTCCCCACATCAACAGCTATATTCAACCCATATCTTCTCTCCACTAGCCAACCAACATTTCCCACAACTAATATTTCCCACATCACAGTCAACCCACAAAGTCAACCGGCAAGCCAACCCTCAAAGCCCACCCGCCGCCCGCAAAATAAAATGGATCTAGAGCGGTTCCTACTACTGTTGCCTACTTGGCTATGTTCTTAGTACGCTTGTTTTCCTAAAAAGGCGCACACGCTATTTGGAGGTGACAGGTTCTATTTCCTGCACGGTAACTATAGTTTTCGATTTTTATCTTGTCTAGTGTGCCCTTTTCTCTTTCTACTTCTTTCTATGAGTGTCCCTTTGTTGTCTCTTTATTGTAGAGACTGTGTTGCCGCTTGGATTTCGTAGAGAGTTCAAAACCCACATTTTGTTTAAAAATGTTAAAGACTCCAAACAATCCGCGAAACCATACATGTCAAGGGATACTCCATGTCTGGCTTCCATGGCCCCATTTGGGGTGGGGAGAGGAGAGAGAATACACCCCCCAAAACGTATGTTGTAAAAGTCGACTGTGGTGTTTTCTCCCTTCGAAGTCGGAGTACATCTGCGTAAGAGGCGAGGAACCAAGAGTTAGCATACAAATAGGCCAGATCTGTAAAACGGATGTACATGCTAAACTCAGTATCCAGAATGGTGAACTAGGAATCGACATCATAGCACTCAGGACATTTCCGCATGCGCCCAGTCTCCATATTCAGAAGGCACCGGTAACAGTCTGACTGTATATCCGTCGCGTCTTTCCTTTGAGTGTTGGGGGCTGCGTGATCTCGGGTTCAAGCCTCTGTGAAACAGCTTTTTCACATGGAAAACGAGTAATTTCCTTTTGTCTCCGGGTAGTAAGATTATGCGCCTGTGTGTATTGTTGCTCACGTAAAAAAAGAAGAGAAGCCTAATGGCGCTGTCTGGGCAAAATTTGGAGTTAAAAATCTACTCAAAGTATTTTCAAGATCCTCGCCGGTGCTACAGAGTTCGTGCACTGTGCTGAGAGTCTTCGGACTCAGATTTGATGATAATGGGGATGATAACATCAAGATGGAAGAAATGAAGGCAGCTATTGAGAAGATTAAGCTGGGGATAGTAGCAGGTCATGATAGTATAACACCAGAGATGGTCAAATATATTGGAGTCGCAGGTGAGCGCCTTCTACTGAAAGTTCTCCAGGCAGCCTAGTGTATCAAATCTATACCAAAATTGGGAGATTGCCATCATTATACCTATATTTTAAAAAGGTGACAAAAGGCAATGTGAAAACCACAGAGGCATATCCCTCCTCAGCGTTCCTGGTAAAAGTTGCTCTAGAATTCTCGAGCAGAGACTTGGAAGTCTGGTAGAGCCACAGCTGGATGAGGCCCGATGCGGCCTCAGAGCAAGCTGAAGTACTCAAGACCTTATCTTCACACTGAGACAGATGAGTGAAAAAGCCCTTGAATACAAGAGTGAGATGTACCTATGTTTTTTTGTATCTGGAAAAGGCATTTGACAAGATACCCTGGAACCAGCTTTAGGACTGCTTGGCAGGGAAAAACATCCCAGCACCCCTGATCAGTGCAATACAGAGTTTCTATAAAAGCTGCAGAAATTATGTAAGAACGGCAGACCAAAAGTCAGAAGAGTTTAAGACCACCAGCGGTTTTAGACAAGGTGATATTCTCTCACCTTACCTCTTCATTCTTATGATGGATTATGTCATCAAGACCTGTAGGGAGAAGACAAAGAAGTACTCTGTAGGGGACTGGAAGATGAGACCAATCTGTATATCAGAGCTGGCATTTGCAGACGATGTCGCCCTGGTAGCTAAATCAGAGGCACACCTTCTGTCCAACTTGCTTGTCTGGAAAGAAGAGCTTGAGAATATAGGGATGACCATCAGTATCTCCAAAATTAAAACCATGGTGATCTGAAGAGAGAAGAAGAAACACCAGATCATGATGGGACAGTATGCATTGGAGCAGGTCAACCAGTTCAAATACCTTGGAGTTGTATTAGACCAAAATGGAGGCATTAAGACTGAGCTGGCTACACGAAAAGCAGCTGCTGGGAGTCTCTTCCAGACCATAAACCGAGGGTTTCTAGCAAAAGAGATATTGGCAAGAGGACGAAAATGACTTTTTGCCGCTCTACCTATGTACCAGTCCTGGCCTATGGGTGTGAGTCATGGGCAATGACAACAGCTCACAGAAGCCAGCTTCAGGCCTCAGAAATGAGATATCTGAGAAAGGTGGTCTAAGTGACAAGAAGGGACAAAGTGCGCAATCAGCAAGATCTTAATACCCAGTCCTTACAAACCCGAGTGGATCAGTCACAGTTACGATGGTTTGGACAAGTATGCAGAATGGGAGAAAATCGGCTACCATAGCAGGCGTGGGAGGCTAAGAACCAGGGAACCAGACCTTCAGGACGACCTAGGGTGCGCTGGAAAGACAACATTCGACAGTCCCTAGCTGACAGAGGACTGGAATGGAACAAAGCCAGAGAGAAAACGGCTGATAGAGACGTCTGGTGATCCCTCTAGCAAACCTCTATACCCCAAGGTAGAAGAGGAGCGACTAAGTAAGTAAGTAAGTATATTCTTGTTTTATTTTTGTATTGGCTCCTGAATTGGGTTACAACCCTTGTGTCATGATGTTAATCCGTTGTTTAAACCTATAAAACCTATACACTTTGAGTGTTAGGGCCAGGTCTCCTGTTAACACCACACAGCGCCATTATCCTCAGACTCAGACCGTTATAATCTGTTTGTGTCTCCTCACTGTTCACTCGCTTTCAAAGGTCCCTGGCAAACGTCTAGTTTGTCCAAACACACCGGCATCACCTGGAGAGAATATCCAAAGGAGTCTAACTACCCGGGACCTCTAAAGTGATGCTTGCGTGTCTCCGCGATCAACATGCTCTATGAATCAGTTGCAATTACATCTATGTACATCTGACTCTCAAGCCAGCAGTGACTGCCTCCACCTCCATTATCAACCTAGACTTTGTTATATCACATCTTTGTTTCCATTTCCGGAACAAAATCAAAGTTCAGAAGTGGGCGAACCAACAGAACTTTTCGCCGGAGCTTAAGTGAGTGAACGTTAAGAAGAAAGAAAAAGGCGAAAAAGAAGAATTAGGGGCTAGCGTCCAAACTTATCCGGTACAGTTGAGGTAGTCCTAGGAATGATCTAAAAGAAATCTGTCACCATATACCCATAAGTCTTTTCTCTGAGTATGTTTGGTTTTGGTTGTATACAACAGATCAACATTATGGTACAAGGGTAGTAACCCATAGCCTAAATGTTCCGTTCTACTTCTATGCCCACACAAATAAATATACAAATAAATCAACTTTCTATGAGTGCCGGTTAATACATTTTCTCTTTATTAATTATACTTTATGCCCCGAATTTTTTTCAGGATACAATGCTGAAAAAAAATGTTTAAAAACGTTAATAATATAATAATACAGTAAAATAATGCCGTACACGGATTAGAAGGGTTAATTTTTCTTCGCGCAAAACAGAAGCTCGGTTTGTGAACTAGACATAAATAGAAATGTCACATGACCGGAATGTTTCCGTACGAGCTTTAGCAGGCAATTTTCAAGTTCTGAACTTGTTGGACCATCAGATACTGCAACTGTTGAACGTATTATCTGACGGCAGTCAAATTCTTTAAAAACACTTGGGAATTATGACTTCATTAATGACATTTGTGGCATATATCGCAGTTTCATATCAAGTGCTACTAATAAAACAATCCACTGCCGACATCATCATAGACGATTCATTAGGATATGGTCGTGATTTTGACGGCATAGGAGGACTAAGCGGAGGAGGAGTAACATTTGATTTTGTTAACAATGTTCTATTTAAATAATATCAATTCCTTAAAAACGAGCCTCAGAGGCTAGAGCGCTTGTCTGCCGACTTAGTGGCCCTGTATTCAATTGCCCATCAAGGCGGGAATTCGTTAAAAATTGAGCTTCCAGGTTGAGCTACGGTGATAATAGTAAATTTAAATTGGTTCCAGGAAATGTACTGGTAGTAAAAGGCGGTCGATATTTCCCACATCAACATTTAGATGCAAAATTTGTCTGTAAAATTTTTAGGCCAGCTCCATGCGCCCAATATGCTTCTAAATTGGCCTTTATCTTTAATGACTTTTTATCAGGATTTACCATTTTAAAATTTCCAAATGCTAGTTAACTCTTTCAGTCCTTGAAAACTTCGTAGGAAAACCGATGATGGCAGTAACCACAATGAGAAGATGAGTTAAATTTAATTACTTTAAAAAAGTAAACATATACTACTTCTTTTCTCTACTCCTGGAAAGCCTCGTTGTGTCAGGGCCCTTCTGTTCACTTTGTATAAAGTACAGTGTCTCTGATATTTCTGTAGCCTGTATCTACACGGTCGACCACCGGCTCTGTTATCACTGTATCTTCTTCTTCTTCTTCTTCTTCGCTTTCACCAGCTGTACACTCTGGCGGAAAGTTCTGGTTGCTCGTCCATTACTGAACTGCAGTCCTGCTCCAGAACCTGAGTGCTGCGTGTGCATCAGTTTTACAGATCTCATTCTCTTGAATACAGACTGTTGGTTCCTTGCCTCTCAGGCAGATGCACTCCGACTTCAAAGGAAGCTCCCCAATTAGTCGACTCTTACGACATGCTTTTGGGGAGGCAGTTTGTCTATTCTTGTTTTCCCCACAATGGGGCCCCGGAACCCACACGGGGGGTCACTGTATCTGTATAACCTAGACTATTTTGTTTAAATGTGAAGCTATATTTCTTCAGGATACTGAGGTGACATGTGTGATACAAAACCATGCTTTACCTGGTGGACATCAGCTATTATACACAGTACCTTTTTTTGGACATAAAGAGTTGAAGCATCTTTGAATTAAAGGCCATTACAGTAGGAGCCATGATGGTGCAGTAGCTAGAGGCATGCCTGCATATCTAAAGGTCATGGTTTTATTTTTGTCTAAACTGATATCGGCATCCAGGTTGACCCAGCCTCAACTGGGTTCCATGGACAAGTTCTGAAAAGCAAAAATGGCTGGCATGATGCTGACCACATCACCCATCTTGCTTGTGCTGACTGGACTATAAAATATAGGTCTAGCACTAGGTGCCCAGTTTACCTGAAGGCGTGGAAAAGGTCCTTTACTGCCATCAAAAGACATGTATGGCATAACACCAAAGATACTGCACGCACAGAAAGCAATTATAGTCACAATATTAGTATTTTTTTCTGTTCGTCCAGAAACAAAAAGGAAAGAACCCCTGTAGTGCCAGTGGTACATCAGGCATATGGTGCTAGACCAGTCGGCCATGATAAGGGATGAGGTCAACATCTTCATGGCTGCCTTTGCTTCCCAACGCTTTACCTGGTACCCCTTTGAGGCGGGATTAGTCCGAGAACCAACGTCATTTTTGAAAAAATCTGACTCGATGCTGATTTCAACTCACGACTTCAGGTTGGAGACAAGTGACTAGCCTCTACACTTGCATGGCTCCCCAAAAAGAGTATAGCAAAACAGTTGTCTCATTTTACAGTTAAAGACTGAATGGCACTCAATGAATGATGAGGCCAGCATCATGTTGGCTTTCTTCACTTCTCAGGACTTTACCTCTTAGGCAGGACTGACTTGGGATAAAGTCATTTAAAAAAAAATAACTTATAGTTGTTTTAAACCAACGACCTTCAGGCCGGAGGCAAATATCTAGATTATTGCAAAACAGTCATCTCACTTTACAGTCACTTATAGAAGTCTGAGTGGATATGCCTGAGAGACGAGGAATCAATAGTCTGCATACAAATAAGCCACATCTGTAAAATGGATTTGTGCACAAAACTCAAATTCTAGAACCAGACCAAAGTCCAGAACAATCACAACTTTCCATCAGAATTTACAGCTGTAGACGCCAAGTAGAAGAAGAAAAAGAAAGACTTAGTTTAACTATTTGGGTACCAAAGAATGCACCTGATGCGGATGGAAAGCTACTTTAACTGTCCCATGGTACTGAAAGTGTTAACTCTTTCAGCCCGAGTGAAGCAGCAACAATATAAAAATTATAGGTCTACTGCTTCTGCGGGGTTAAAATCACATTCCTTGTTGGAAACAGATTTGGGCACTTTTCAGATTTTTCACCCCATCTCGGGAGCTACAAAGTCTTTAGGGAATTTCTAGGGAGTTCCCAAAAAACAGGGTGATTAGGGTTAGTTTCCTTTTCTTCATCTTCTTTTCAGTCAGTCAGTAGCATGTCCTTTGCAGAACCTTGCTACCATAAGGACCCTCCGGAAAACTTCTTGGTCACAAGCAAGATGTCCTGCATCCGATACACATATCTGGAGATCATCCGCCACATCCTGCACCCATCTTCTCTTTGGTCTTCCTCTTCCTCTCTTCCCAGGCATATACCCTTCCATTATTGTTCTCTCCAAACTTTCGTTATGTTTGAAGTGACCAAAATATTTCAATTTTCTGTGTTTTATCATCTTTAATAGCCAACCTACTTCAGTATCCAGCTCTTGAAGTATGGATGCATTTGTTTTTTCTTTACCCATGATATTCTTAAAACCCATCTATAACATTTGTATTCAAAGGCATTTATGCGCTGTTCAGCTTGTTTAGTAAGTGTCCATCTTCTTTTATTTACCCAAAATAGATTATCTGTATCTGCAGTGTTGTCTGTAATATTTACTTTACTATATTCTGTAATTCACTTAGCGACCCGTAAAGTTCGACTTGAACCGATGTTGCCTGATAAGGGCCATCTTCAGGTATTGACAGGGGAGGGCCTTGAGAAGGAGCAAGAGTCTGCATGTATTCATACTCACTGGTTACTGTTAGGGCTAGATGCAGGAATGCTGAAATGTCAAGGAAATTCATAGTAAAGGAAAGGCGAAGTCACAAAGTAAAAACACCGTTTGCAAACAGGAAACAGTGATAGCAATGAACGAACGAAAATAATACACACTGGAAATGATAAGGCAATAAATGATAAACACGCTGAAAACAGCCAACGCATGACACACCTAGACCATAGCATTTTTAGCGTTGAGGGGTTACTGTTAAATTAACACATACTAACATTAGCCTGACCCTAACCTCCCTATACTATAGGACCTTCCGTGGAAGTCCCTAGGAATTCCCCACTTAATCTCGCAGCTGCCGAGATGGGGTGAAAAAGCTGAAAAGGACCCAGATATGTTGTCTGGGTTCTTTAGAGTCTGTGACTAAATATAAGATATTAAAACATACACAACAATTTTGAACTGTATACAGAAATAATGTCTTCTCACATTTGATGTGTTGCTCGGGATAAAAAGATTTAATAATTTAATTTGCTTCTTTCTATAATAGGCAACATCAAAACTGCTTGTGAATTACCCTCAAGAGCAGCGTGACCAAATACTGGATTTTTTATTTAAGGTATAACTCCATTTATTTGTAATTGTACATGATTTGGCAGTGTTTTTAAATGTAAATTATGCATTATCAACATGTAAAGGTGTTGGAACCTGAGGGCTGGTGTCGCTTGAGGCCCCCAAATAATTTTATAAGGAGGCTAAGCAATCCCTTGTAACCATGTATAGAAGGGGTTTGCTCCCTGGCGGAGCCGGACTTTTTTCAAAAATGACCTTGGCTCCCACGTCCACCCAGCCTTGAGTGGGTTCCGGGTGCAGTTCGGGAAAGTGAAGGTGGCTGGCGTGATACTGACCACATCACCCATCTTATGCCGATTGGTCTATAAAAAAATTAAGGGTATAGCCTTATATGCCCTTACGCCTTAAGGCGTGGAAAAGGGTCCTTTACTTTACTTAGGGAGTCGCCGTGGCCGAGCGGCTAGACACTCGCCGCGGATCAAAGGTCGTGGGTTCGTTCCCTGTCGGAGCCTGACTTTTTTCAAAAATGACCTTGGCTCCCAGATCGACCCAGCCTTGAGTGGGTACCGGGTGCAGTCTCGGGAAGTAAAGGCGGCCGGCTTGATGCTGACCACATCACCCTTCTTGTGCCAATTGGTCTATAAAAATATAGGTCTAACCCTTTATGCCCCATACGCCTAAAGGTGTGGAAAAGGGTCCTTTACTTACTTTTTTTTTACATGTATAGAAGATCTCTTTAAAAGTATTTGTTTGTACATTTTATATTAAGACTTCAACGAACATTCAGGGCGTAGTTGAAGAAAAGGAGGGAAAAGAAGAATCTGGAATGACAGCTTAAGAAATGGACAATACTAAGTTATCATACACTTATTCATCAAGTGGAAGACAGAGAAAATAGGTCAAGAGCTATGTTATGTCATGTTTATATTACAGGTTGACATAAGCAAATCTGGCAACCTCAGGAGTGCCAAATCTGTGAAAGTTTCAGATTCTGGAGTACAGCAGCATCAAAACCTAAAAGGCACCTCCAGAAAACTGGTGCGCCAACACAGTAAATTTGAAAATGTGCACTGAAATCCATGGCCGAAATCTGAAGGAATTGGATCATTGGTGACCTGATATTTGACAACCTGTATCTCAGATGTATTGTTATATGTATTTACCATTCAGCACAGTATATTTTTTTCTTTTATTATGCTCTTAAATTAGGATTACCTCACTAGATACCCCCCCCCCCCCCCCCCCCCCCCGCACTTTTCCCATGCTGCAGCATTTTCTCAGTTGGTGACAGTCGTATAGAAGTGTCAATCTTTGTGTCAGTCAGCATGGCAAATGATGTAGACAGGGGAGGGGTGGCTTCCATAGTTGTTTTCTGAATCTAGTTTGACCCTATTTGGTTAGAGAAATATTTCAGCTTGACTGACTGAGAATTCTAACCTGGCTGATATGTTAGCAAACAAGTTCACTATCCAGTGCACTTGGAGAGCACATGCATAAAGAATACTTTGAGACAGCAATAACAAAAATATGGTTAAAGTTGTAGATATTCTATACCTGACTGATATGAAGAGTTTTGCAGACTTGAAAGGAATAGAAACTCTCATAACTCATTTTCTGAAATCTGAAGATTTTAATATTGACATTATAACATGCTTGATTATATAAAACTGGAAAGTAAAGAGAAACCATCACATTATCTTTTCAAGAATAAGTTTTTGAGTATGTCACACATTGCGAATGAAGGATTGGCTTTTTCAGATCTTATACCTTAGACCAATGTTTCCCAAACTTTTCCTAGTTGCGGCACTTTTTTCCAGTTAAAATTTTTTCTGCGGCGCCCAAACCTAAGTAAAAGTATGACTGTTCGTATGTAAGAGATCAAAACAAATAAAACTTGTATAGTTTCAAATATTTTGCACCACCCATGTCACGGCTCATCAGGGCGCCTTGGGGCACAGTTTGGGAATCACTGCCTTAGACAAAATGATTAGTTAAGAAACTATCAGTTGTAAATAATGTTATACATCTTTATCATTTCTTCCATCAGCCAAATTTTGGAGCTTCACTTCAAATATTGAAGGTTGAAATTGGTGGAGATGCTCAAAGTACAGGTAAAATATGTGTGTGTGTGTGTATATATATATATATATATATATATATATATATATATATATATATATATATATATATATATATATATATATATATATATATATATATATATATATATATTTTTTTTTTTTTTAAATATTACCACTTTTTAAAAATGTAGTGTTGTCATCTTAGAACTAACGCATTTAAATCGTCTTCATAATGATTTAATACCACTGTGAAATATCTAGTTTACCTTTTAATAATCAGGGCCATGCTATGATACAGAGAGGTGGCCACATCAGGCAGCATTGTTAGGGGGCAGCATAAGAAGCGAAATCAAAATACAATTTGAACTTGTGATTTTACAGTGTGAAGCTATTAGGGGGTGGCATTTTGAAGACTTGCATCATACTGAGAAAATCTACTGCATGGGGCTGTAGATACTGTATAAAATATGCTCATTTTTACTAATAAAGTTGTATATTTGATTCTTCGGAAACTAGTATTTAATTCTGAAAGGAAAAGGGTAAGGTAAAGGATTTTTCTCTGCAAGTTTGAATTTACTTGAAGTTTAGGAGGAAATTGCTATCATAATTATTATATTGACACCCTAGGTGAATATAAAAGGGTTGTACAGAATTAATGAACAAGGAAAGTTTAACAGAGAAGTTACTACTTTAGGAATGCTTGTAAGTATAGGTCTCCAACACCAGCCTTCTAACCCTTAATAATTATGCCTCTGATACTTTTAAAAAATAGAAAGAAAGAAAGAAAAGGGGCTCAGTGAAGAGCGCCATTGCCTTTAAATTCTGAGAATATCACTCTGCATGATTATTGCTTGGCAAACTGTAAAATATTGAGAAAAACTACCAAAAAAACATGTATAATATATATATTCTAAATCCTCTATCATAGGTATGAGTTCTGAACATGCCAATCCGCCATTCATAATTTATGATATAAACCTATTCTTCAAAAGATAATGTGGTGGTTTACCTTTACTTTCCACAGTCTTATAATTGAGTATGTTGTAGTGACAACAAATAATTCTTCAGACCACACAAAGTTAGTTATGAAAGTTCTGATTCCTTTCTTGGTCTTTCAAGGAAGAGACATTCTTCATAACACTCTGGTTTAAAATATCTATAATTTTAACCATATTTTTGCTATTGTTATTATATCAGTGTATTCTTTAAGTCCCTGTTTAACATTCAAAAATAAAGTTTGTTCAATAGTTCATCACTGCTTTTGTAACTACAAAAAACCCTCGTTAACATGAACTCCAAGGTACCCAAAAAAATGAACATTCATGCTAACTAGGGACTTAAATTTCAGTGTTGCAATTGACCCCAAAAAAAAAAATTGATCTCTAGCGTTGGTGAGTGCCTTTCCTTGACTATTTTTGATTGATCCATTTAGCTGACCATATTTACCTACTAATTTCCTTGTGTTACTGTAAAGGTCTCAGAGGTTTTTTCCTGCCTCAACCAAAATTGTGTTTTCTGTTAACTGGTGTTCTTCTTAAGTGAGTCTATGTTAACAAGGATTTACTTATAACAGATTTTCCCCTCCTTGGGTGACTTTTATCACTCACGTTTGAACCCACCCTGGACTGACGTGTAAGAATGTCACTTTTAGCAGTAATGAATTAACAAAACATCTTTTAAACAGTAAAATAGAACTCTTTCTTGATTATATCCTATACACTTGTATGTCGGTAACTTCATGCACTTTTATCGACTGAATTGATTCTGTAATTTCAAAACTGTAAAAATATAAAATGCACTATTATATGTTTGAAATCTTTTTTTTTTTAAATTGTTAGATGGAACCGAGGCATCACATATGCACAATAGCTGGGAAGAAAACTATGCAAGAGGTTATGAGTGGTGGTTAATGGTTGAAGCAAAAAAGGTAATACCTGTTTACAAATTTGAAGAAGAAAAAAATTTCCTTTTTTTTTATTTGGCCCAACATGGATAGAACTTGTGGTTCACTTTTACCATTGAATGTTGGGGAGAGTTGCCATTTTGTAAATCTTGAACTGAATGTGTTGCTTGGTTTTTCCCTTTTAGCTTTATACACAGAGCTACTTTGAAATTGACACATGGGTGCAGCTAATTAGGTTTCATTCTGACAAGATATCTAAACCAAGATGTATACAGGACATTGTAGATGCATTGGCATTGAAAGCACATGAGGCTGAAGAGCTGGCTAGGGAAAGGGATACTTTCAGGCCTGCCGTGGTGAGAGTGACGTTCTGTAAAGGACTTGCTGATTGATGTGATGTGTGGTCTACATTTGTCATTAAATGTTGGAGAGAATGGTCTGGCTGTAGCTGATTAGGTTTAATTTTCACCAGATGTCTAAACTACTTTATTATTGTTTCTCAGTGCAGAAAGTGGTACCTATGATCTAAGACGTTTGTATCCTAACTACTGATCCACCAATTCTTTCTGATTTTATTTATGAAAATCCCCACGCAAAAAAAAAGGCAATTTCATGCAGAAAAACTAATGTGAAAGTGCACAAGGTGAGAGCTGGTGAGAGGCCAAATTTATTTCAGGCAGACTGTGATGAGAGCGATGTTCTACAAAGGACCTGCTGCATGACGATGAGTCATTTCAAAGTGTTTCAGATATTATTTTCAAGCGCTCTTTTCCTCCTTTGCCTGTTTCCACTAATATACAAGTTTTGTTTCAGAGAAACCCAAATATCAAACTGTATGCTCTACCATGGGGCTTCCCAGGTTGGATTGGTCAAGGAACAAGATCTCCTTATGCAAATCCTGGTGTCCTAGCTGATTACATTGTGAGGTGGATTAATGGCGCTAGAGTTCATTACAATCTGACAATTGATTACATAGGGGTATGTGTGCAAATAAAAAAATTAAACATTAAAATTGTAATTTATTTTTAACGTACATCATGAAGGTTGACACTTTCTTTTTCCTAAAGTCCGTGCAGTGTGGCGTTGGTAGTCATGTCTATCCACCTTCTGTCTTATGTACTTTCAATCAGCTCTGACCCAGATGATCATCTATGCCATGATGTCAGCCTGTCCAGCATCTTCTCTCTCAGACTGCCTCTACCTCTCTTCCTCTCCAACTTCCCCACTGTCACTATGTACTCTAGTTTTTCTCGTGCAATTTCACAATTTCTTTGTTTTAAAATTACAAGTAAAAGAAGATAATAGGGTTTCACTCATGAATATTATGGACTCATTTTGAACCTTGCAACTCACTGTCCTTTTTTTGGTAACTGCATACATGATGTGATTTTCTTAACCCTGTAACACTGATAATGCTAAAGAAATTGCATCATGATTCTACTGGAGTTTCCGGAAAAAATCCTTTAAAAAAAAAAAAACTACTATTTTAAAGAGTTACTAATAAATAAGTAAAAAAATTATTTATGTACATGTTGTTTATATGAAAAGAGTAACCAATAAGCATGAACAGAGTGAAGCATTAAATAGAATCCCTGTTGCCTGAAAATAATTGTATGAATTGACTTATGCTTTGACCCTGTGACCTCTGACACATAGGAAAAATTATACCATCAACCTGGCTTTAAAAAAGATGTTTGATTCACAATAGAACTCTTCTAAATGCTATTTTTAGTAAACATATTAATACCCTGACCTAAACACTGCACAGGCACAAAAAAAAGCCAATAGCATTAGCTATGCATGTTATAAACACCCCACTCTAGAAAAAAAAAGTTAAGTGACATTTATGGGAATTAGAACAAACCGAAAGTATTAGTTTTGCAGTTTCTTGTGGGACATAATTAAATCTTTGTGCCCCATAGAGTTTACAAATATCTCTATAAAAATATTGTATTACATTTTAATTTATTTCCAGATCTGGAATGAGAAGCAGTACGACATAACATACATTAAGGTAAAATGTTGATCATTCATGTGATTATAAACCAAAGAATTAATTTTTGAACAATTTTTTACCAATATTTCTTCATTGCTTTCACCACCTGTAAACTCTGGTGGAAAGTCCTTGTTGTCATCCACTTCTGAACTTCCCAGTGCGGGTTCCAAGGCCCAATTATGGGAGGGAAAAAAGAATAGGCTCACTGCCTCCCTAAAAAGCATGTTTTAACAGTCGACCAACTTGGAGTTTCTTTTGAAGTCGGAGTGCATCTGCCTGTGATGTGAAAAACCAAAAGTCTGCAGACAAATAAGCGATATCTGTAAAATGGATATGCACACAAAACTTAAGTTCTGAAACAAGGCTAAAGTTCTTAAGTGGATGAACTTTCCGCCAGAGTTTACAGCTGTGAATGCGAAGAAAAAGACTTCTGAACTTTTGTCTTGTTCCAAGATTTAAATGTTGCATGTGTATATATTTTTCAAATCTATCTTATTTTTGTGCAGACTGTTGGTTTCCCAGCTCTCAAGCAGATGCCCTATGAATTTGAAGGAAACATTGGTTCTGTCTACATTTGCCAGGGCACCTATTTGGAACCAGGAAGAAGTGTAGAAAACGTCTTCACTAGTATGAGCTCTGTTCTTAGTGCACCAGGATATGTGGTTCGGTACCTCTTCATCCCATACTGCATACAAAAATAAGATAATTGGAACCATATAGAGATTATGTGAGGAATTTATCTGTGAACATAAAGGTGAGCAGATGGATATAGATAATTTCACCCCTCCTTTACTGGTAGGATAATATGGATGTCAGGGTAACACTGTTGTACTTTCACTGGTTTTACTGCCAAAGTCTTGGCAGACATTCTTTCATGTCAAAACTCACGAGGCAAACCTATTTAGCAGTCTCTGTGCTTTTTACTTAGTTGCAGACAATCATCAAATTCATTAGTTTCAAGAACAAGCAAATTTAGTAACTAATAGGAGCACATCTTAGATATTTTAGAAAAATGTTTACAGTAGATTGACTTCTTCTTCTGCCCTTTATCCCCCACAGGAGCATAGTCCCTCAACCAGCTCACACCAGGTTGTACTGTCCTTTGCTGTCACATGCAGTTGATTCCATGTATTCCTCATCTTTTTAACTTCACTTTCTGGTTGCCTTGTACATGTGTTTTTTTTAATCTACCTTTATTACTATGCCCTTATGGGTTCCAGTTTAAAGCCCTTTTAGTTATATTGTTCTCAGGTTTTTTCAGTGTTTGTCCCATCCAACACCAGCATCTTTTCATCACTGCTTGATTCACTGGAATTTGTTTAGGTCTCTATCAAAGCTGAACATTTAATTCTCTGTATTCTGCATAGGCACCAGTTAATAGATCGACTTCATTGCACCCGATTTTATCCCATATGCCCCGGCCTGTCCACGGAATAGCTAGCTACCTACCATGAGAATCGTACAGAGCACAAAAGGGGTCTTATTGCAGTTGCACTTTTGAACTGAAAAACAGCCTGTAAATCAAAACCACTGCCTTCAGAACATTGAATTAAGAGTCGACATCACAGTATTCAGGACATTCCCATAATTGCTCCGTCCCCGTCTTCGGCAGCAAGCTCAGAGTTTCAGTTCCGATGGCGCTAGTAGCATTCTGATTGTATATTCGTCTCACCTTTTACTCTTCAGCGTCAGCCAGATTCCCTGGTCACTCCTTGTAGCACTATTCTCCTCAGACCTTCATATCTGTTTGAGCCTCTGCGTTGTTCATTCGCTTTTAAAAGACCTTTACAACATCTAGCTTATCATGCGTCAGTTCACCACAAAGTGGTGCAAATCCAGCCAGTCTGACTGCTCATTTCTCAATAAACCGGCATTATCTTGAGAAAATATCCATATCTACGTGAGGCCTCTGAAGAGATCTTACCACTCTGCACGGAGCTTACCTGTCTCCACCTTTCTTAACAAGCTCTGTGAGTCACAACCTTCAGCGCACCAGGCAAGCAGCGTAGCCACTCAGACCTTTTGCTGAAAAGTAGTAAATATGCATTATCTGTGTAATTACCCAAATGTTTACATATTCAGAATGAATGACATGCAGTCTCCATTCTTGCTGTCTTTCCAGTCTTTGAGGAGTGTTCTGGACCAGAGAGGTTTTCAGGATGTTTTGATTATAGCAGCAGACGAGAAGTGGGAAATTTCTGCAGATATCAAGAAAGACACAGACTTGGCAAAGATAGTCCATGCTGTTGGGTAATCTCCAGAGCACATTTTTTGCCTGTCTATGTACTTACCACTTTTTAAGGCTATACAGTGGGAAATTTTTTGTTCTCCCTGTGGGTTCCAGGGCCCCATTGTAGGGAAGACAAGTACAGACCCACTGCCTGCGCAACAAGCTTGTTGTAGGAGTCGACTAATTGGGGGTATCCTTCAAACTCGGTGTGTACCTGCCTGAGATGTGAGGCACCAGCAGTCTGCATACAAATATGCTAGATATGTAAAACAGATCTGCACGCAAAGGTCAGGTTCAGGAACTAGATGGAGGTCTGACAACCAGAACTTTCTGCCATAGTTTACAGCTGGTTAGCGCAAAAAAAAATTTTATAATTTTTGCACCCAGCAGAAAATGTTGACATCAGCTTGCAGAAGAATCAAACCTGGACCAAGCATTGTGACCTTGACCCCACCCCCTTTTTCGACTGGTGCTACTCACAGTTTTTCAATGACAATTCCAGATAGGTCAATAATTGGTATTATAAATGTGTTGGGTGACTCATGCCGTGGCATCGTCAGTATGTTGCCACTAAGGTTAAGGAAAATTATGTTGTCATAATAGCTTAAAACGATTTTCACAGCTTTTCTTACACACCGCTCTTGCCCATGCTGTTTTTAATAAATATATTGTATTTGGGCCTCCTAAACGCCGCATAGGTGAAAACAAAACTAATGCTGTTAAGTAAGCTTCTCAGTGGCATACCATTGCAGCAATGCCAATTTTTCAGCATTTATTTTGGGTCGGAAGGGTGAAAGTGAAATACATGTTTATTAGCTCATTAACCATTCTGCCCAGGAATATTAAATAAAAAATTTTAAAAAAGTCATGACCCCATTAGAATTCCAGAAAACAATCCCTTTTCTTAAAAAAAGAAGCAATTTTAAACAGGTTACCAATGAATTGGCAAACAAGTTATTTATCTACATTTTTTTTAAATGTGTCAAAAAATATAAAGATAATCAATAAACAAGAACAGGGTAATGCATTAAATGGAAAAATCCTCAAGGGCTGAAAAACAGGTTTAGGGTGTCTCTGGCCATGACCCCATGACCTCTTCACTAATTTTTTCAAGAAAATCTGGATTTAAACAGCCAGTAGCATGAACCATGCATCTTGCTAACTGGTCACTGTAGACAAGTCAGAAAAGGGATATTTATGGGGAATTGGACCCAGCTGGAATTGTTGGTTTTTTGGATTCTAGGGGCGAAAAAGTTAAGCAATCAGCTTAGATCCGTTTAGATCTCTTTTTAATTTTATTATTGTATAAAAATTGTGTTTCCTACTCTTTCTGTGCATGATTTTTTTTAACTATCATCTCCAGGTGTCACTATCCTGGTACGTTGTCTTCAAATGATGCAGTCAGCACAGGAAAGAAACTCTGGGCCTCTGAAGATTACAGCACATTTAATGATGAAATTGGAGCTGGCTGTTGGGCTCGGGTACATTTGTAGCATTATAAATGTTGGGGAAAGAATTTATTTCACTGGAAGAACATTTTAGCGATTTTGGTCTAGAACTAGTTGAACATTTATTGTTCTGTGAAGACTCCATATGTAGGAGACCAGATTTATCCAGAGTTACAGTGTGGCTTTCATGGGAATGGGTCTCTCAGCGACATAATATTTTTTCATTTTTTCATCAAAGGCCAAAACCAGGATAATGAAGGTACTTATTAGAGAACTGCTGATTTCACATTAGGCAGCAATTATCACCCACTCAGAGGAGGAGCTGCAATGTTTACTATCTGCATTTGCTGATGCGTGCTGTGAATTTGGACTAAAACTCAGCAAAAAGAAGACAAGTGTTATAGTGCAAGGTGGTAACGAAAGACCTGCAATCTACATTGATGATGAAGAGCTGAAGAAAATTGACCATTTTACCTGTCTGGGTCCACAGTGAATAACAAACTTGCTGGACCAAGAAATCAACATCAGCATAGGTAAGGCAGCAACAACAATGAGCAGATTAACAAAAATAGTTGGGAGAAAAGAAAGCTCATGATTAATACAAAAACTCTTGTCTATCAGGCTTCTATTCTCAGCACTCTGTTTTATGGCAGCAAAACATGGTCAACTTATTTGCACCAGGAGAAGCGGCTGAATAGCTTTCACATGCCTAAGAAGTATACATGACATAAAGTGGCAGGACAAGATCACAAACAGTGAGGTATTAAAAAAAGCAGGTATTACAAAGGTTTTCTCAGTTCCTAGTCTACGAAGGCTCATGTGGCTGGGTCACACCTGGAGAATTAAGGATGGCAGAGTCCTTAAGTACATACTCTGTGGTGACCTAATGGTGGGTAGAAGATGTCGAGGTCAACCTCTACTGCGATATAAAGATGTATACTAGCAGGACAAGATTGATACAGGTATTGAGCTGGACTCTGAACAAAATGCCATGGACTGTGTTGCATGGGGGGGGGGGGGGGGGGGGGGGGGGGGGGGGGGGGGGGGGGCATATCAGGAAGGGAATTAGAAGGGGAAAAAATGATTCAGAAAGGATGAGAGCTGAGCTTCTGGGAAGAAAACACACTAAACACAAATGTTGACAACAGTCCTGAAATTGCATGCTATAATTGTGGAAAACTTTTCTTAACACGGGTGGGTCTTGCTAGTTACACTGCCCATCGCCAGGGTGGTGAGTCCCATGCCTCCTCATAGCACAATATAACACTATAACAAAATTTAGAAATCTCAGAAATAACATCCTAATAACTGGATATAATTTTATTTTGTATAAATTGTAGTTTTCTTCTTCAAATATATAATATGATGTTTCATTTTCTGTTCTGATTTTGCAATATTATTTGCTTCTTTTTTTTATTTGCAAACAGATTCTGAACCAAAACTATGTGAATGGCCTTATGACATCGTAAGTGAAGGATAATGCTATAAAATATTATTATTCCTCTACTTCTTCGTAATGCCGGGATGTTGGGTTCGATCCCAGCTGCGGGCCATGCACCTTGCGTTGGTTTCAACAGTGGTATCAAGAAAGCCGACCATCCAGAAAGCAGTGGCAAACTACTGGATGTAAATTTCCCTAGAAAAACCACACAACAGCCAGGGGCTGTTGGAGTTGGTTTTGCAACGTCCTGTAAAGGATACGCAACTAACCTAAGCTCTTCTTCTTTGTTCACCAGCTGAAAGTCCTGGTTGTTCGTCCATTTGGACTTCAGCTTTGTGCCAGGGCCTTAGTTTTGCAAGTGCATCCATTTTACTGGCTTACTTCTGTACAGTTGGATGTTCTTTGCCGCTCTGGTAGATGCACCCCAGCTTTGAAGGAAGCTCCCAATTAGTCTACCTTTACGTCATGCTTGTTGGGGAGGCAGTGTGTCTGTACTTGTTTTCTCTATAATGGGGCCCCAGAACCCACATAAGGAATAAAGCATTCAAGCACTGATTATTCTGGATTAAATAATGCTGTGTGTAAATTAAGTAAAGATAATAGATTCTTAGGTACACACTCACTGTCACCATGGGCTGTGATTTCCTTGTCTATTTAAAACACAGTGTAACACTTGGCTAAAAAGATGGATAGGTGCCACTAAAACCAAACAGTACATGCTTAGGTAATAAAATATTTACAGATAATGGCGATCATCTTTTTTCACTTTTACCATCAGGCAACATGGGAAGGAACAGTGAGTGGTCCATCGCACAGTATGTGGCACATTGCATGTGAATATGCAAGGTCTTTAATGCTGTCATCCTATCTTCTTTTTAGATGGTATTTAGTGTTGCTATATTCAAACAAAATGCCCAAACCATTTGATCTTCTGCTTCTGAATGTATTTCTTCTTAGCGGTCACCAAGTGTGAATTTTGGTGGAAAGTTCTGGTTGTTCATCCACTACTAGACTTCAGTCTTGTTTCAGAACTTGAATTTTATGTGCAAATCCATTTTATTTTATAGATCTGGCTTACATGTGTGCATACTGTTGGTTCCGTACTGCTCAGGCAGATGAGAACAATTCTAGGCACGTTTTATGACATGCTTGTTAGGGAGGCAGTATGTCTATTTGTTTTTCCTCCCATAATGTGGCCCTGGAACCTGCACTGGGACAAGGTGTTTAATAAAGATATTGTTCACAATACCTGTATGATAGTATTATTTCTCACTTGTTCTCAGATGGTTAAATTAGTGGCTTTCCTAAGGCATTTCATCTTGCAAGAGTTTATTTGAAATGAATGAGTTTTTGATAGTGTCCAAGTTTGGCACTGGTAGCATAATACTGGGTTGAATAAATTACTTATAATCTTTTGGTTTGTGAACATAATTATGTTCTTAACATCATCTTTTATTTTGCCATCCTCTGTCATCATACTTCCTCAGTAAAATACATTGATGAAAGTGAAACTGATTAGAAAAATTAAATTTAAACAATAACAATTGTTTGGACATGTTATAAACATCAGTATACCGGAAATCAAATGACAAATAGAAAACTTGATGAGAAGTGAACAGTGGGAAGACAAAGATAAAAATGTATGGATTTCTTGAGAGTCAAGAACACTGACCTGATCCATGATTCTGGTCATTTGACAGAGCAACCATAACCACCAGTGCTTATCAGCATGGAACCAGATTATGATGATAATTCAATGTTATATGTAATATATATCTGATTTTAAATTGCATCTAATTATTAAATTGTTTCCCTAGTACCATATCGTGGAATCTAATTGCCAGCTATTATGAAGATCTTCCCTACTACAGGGATGGCTTGATGACTGCGGTTCAACCCTGGAGTGGAAATTATGTTGTTCAGAGTCCTATATGGGTTACAGGTAAGTTCAGTTTTACAGTATCATGAGATCAAGAAGAAGGAAAACACGGTCATTATACATATCTGAACATCAAAAGAAATTAACTTAATATATAACAGCAACACAGATACTTAAAACCATAACACTGTGGTAAGAGTGTAATGACAGAAGAAGATAAGGAAAAAGGGTTTAGAAACAACAGTATAGGAGGCATTGTTACTGGAAGAAGATGCAGTCGTCAGCCTGTGTGGGATCTGGGGCCCCATTTAAACTGCAACATGTCAGCTGCCTTTTTTAAGAGCAAACACAGAAAAAAGAAGGAGAAGAAAGATATAAAGAGAGGATAACATCAAAAGCTGGGGGAAAAAACACTGCCGCTGCTCATTGTAATGCATCACAAATACCTTGTCTAACCTTTATCCTTGTACTGGGTGATGCAGGTGTTCAAAGCAATGAGTGTACAGATTATCTGGCAGGCAAGGCAGTTACCACTGCTAGTCTGGCACTGGACAGGATTTATGTCATCAGTACCATGCAAGCTGCATATTGTAGAGAAGATTATGAACTACAGCAGGACTCAGTATCCTTGTCCAGATTGGTGGCCATGAGGATGCAGATTGGAGTAGCCATATCTGAACATTTCACCATGGGAAAAAGGCGTCTGATTAATCAACACAAGAGGGAGGGATGGCGCACTGTGTCTCTTCTTTCCCCCAAAACTGAAGCCCGGAACCCACATTGATATTCACTATTGATACAGATAATTGTGCAGCAAAATTTGAGTAAATTAATTTTATTATCACTGCTGCTCAGCTCATACAACCCAGTTCACTTCAATTGGCTGGAAATATCTCACCCACGGCAACGGTGTGGGCAAGTTACCAAAAGGTGGATCATATGTTGCCTTAGTCAGCCCTGCAGGAAGTGACCTTACAGTTGTCATAGAGACAATGGTAAGTCTTTTAAACAACTGAAAATACTATGTCTCATGTTCTGATGTACTCTGATAGCAATGATTTACATTAGTTTCAGTGAAACATCACTGAAAATAATACTAGTAGTTAGTTAGTCTGGTAGTTGGTGGAGGTTCCAACATCATTGCAGATGGGTTGCCCCATAACTGCTTCGTTGTTTTTCCAGTGAAAATCACACTAAATATCCTTTACTGTCCCATTTGAAATCTAGTGAAAAACTTGAAGCTTGCATGTGCAAAGTAAAAATGCATAGGGCAGCTGTCAGATGTGCCAACACTAACAGTCCCATACCAGAATTGTAGTTGTTGGCGCAGATGGTCAATCATGACAGCCCATTTGCACCTGCAAAAGTACATGTTATTTGAAACCTAATTGGCCACCCACAGTTTTAGTGCAGTCAACAACATGCCACATGCAAAGTAGAAAAAAACATTCCACATGAAATCTGCAGCTGACAGTGTTAAACCAAGCACTCAGCTAAGTAGCTGGCGATGGAACCTTTGAACTCCCAGTCCAGAAATAGGGAATTTGCATTAGTTAAACCCAGTTTGAAATAAACAACATTTTAGAGCGTCAGCTGGTTATTGAACATTTTTGTCAAAAGTTGAGAATGTTGCAAATATTACTTAAATCCATTGGTCCTTGTGGGTTTAGCATCAGAGGCCCAAGTGGTAGTAGTGAGAGCTCAAAATTGGCACACATTTGGGAACAAGTAATGGAATCAGTAGAGAAACAAGATTATTATGGCCTGGAGAGAATGAGGCACCTGAGTGTAACCAGAGGGTTTGGCCGACCTGCTACACACAGAGGAAAGCCGAGACGGACCTATAACCAGATTGTGATCGGTACCATCAGTATTGAAACTCTGCATTGGTTGCTGAAGATGAGGACGGAACAATCATGGGAATGCCCCGAGTGCTGTAATGTCAGTTCTTGACTTAACTAACTTTGCTTCGACCATGCATGACTATAAAGGTCAAGTAAATCGACTTCATTGCATGGGGATTTATCCCTTATTGCTTGATTTCTGTCATGATAAAAGTTAATCAATTATGGGCATCGCTTCGAAGTGTGAGTGCATCTTCCTGAGACGTAAGGAACCAACAGTCTGCATACAGATATGTCAGATCTGTTAAAGGGAGATGCATGCAAAACTTAGGTTATGTAACAAGGAGTCTAGGCAGGGACGAACAACTAGAGTTTACAACCGGTGAATGCGAAAAAGAAAAAGAAATTTAAATTCTTCTTCTTTTGCGTTCCTCCTTAAAAGGGCAGCTGGCACACTGTGTTGTGATTTACAGTCAAGCTCAATATCTGCATCTTTTTGTCCAACACATCAATTTCAGCAAATCCTTAATAAGTCACCTTTTACGACATGTTAAGAGACAGTAGGTCTATTCTTGTGCGCCCTCCTTCCCTTCCCAATACCAGAATCCACACTTAGGAAATTGTAATTTAGTGACAGGTGATGAATGGCTAAATCAAATGAATCCTACTGAGATCAGGATGTAGTCACTGCTGAACAGATTTATATTTAGACAGTTATTAAAGACATTTGATTTATTTGCTTTGTGTGTGTGTTCTCTCACGCTTAATAAATTTCCTTTACTTAATTGTATTTATACATTATGATGTATCATATTTTTATAATTTGCTTGTACCTTCTTGCAGACACATGACCATTCTATTTGCATTAGGCCAGCACTGCCTAAATATACGGTTAAAGCTCAGAATGTAACCATCACACTCAAAAACCATTTTGTAAGTACATGTGTATAGTGTTATTTTTCTCTAAACACAGTTGTAATGATTAATGTTAATTTGTAGTCGCATTCACTTATTAAATTGTGTACTTTCACTTTACCTCTTTCGTTCTGGGTAGCTACCAGCCATGGAAAGACATTTTGCTTTTGATGTTTATGAGGGGTTTCAGAATAGACAGGAGACAGGTGTGGCAGCACTTGATCTTGAAGATGCCTACAATAGAGTCAGATATGATATTTTGATATTTGCGCTCATGGAGAAGGGGGTTTGTCTGGGGCTTGTGAACTAGATAGCAGCTGACCTGCATTCACGTATGGTTCCCTTTGTCTGGGTACTTGGACTTCACAGCCATGTAGTATGGCCCTGGGACTCCTCAGGGTTCTTCAATTTCACTGCTGCTCTTCAGTGAGTATACAAGCAAGATTGCAGAAGGATATTGACCTTTGCAAATGATATTCTTGTATTTTGGCAGGGAAGTGATAGACATTTAGAAGTCTATAAATTTAGAAAATTTAGAAGTGCATTTGGCATGAGAATACGTGCAGCAGGAAAATTGGCAAGGGATTAGGGTCTTTTCAGCCAATTTGGTTCGAGCCATTGATTTGCAGAGTTGATTCTAATGAACAGAAATAATGAATTCTTGTAAAGTGACATCTGAATTTATGTTGTTGATTAGCTTTGTCATGCCCCCTGAATTACAACCATAATTGAATTGTTTTTACCCCATTAGTAATGAGACAAGAAGAGCGGCTGGCCGAATGGTTAGAATGCTTGCTCTCATACGGGAGACCTGGGTTCGAATTCTCGGTATGGCTGTGGATTTTTTTTCCGCCCCTCTGCCTACACTGCAAAAGTGGTATAATAAAAGCAGTAACTGGCAGGTTTTTGTGTGTGTGTGTGGCAGTAATGAGACTGCTGGCTAAATTTGTTTACTTTTACACTAATTTCAGGTGAACATTACTCATATGAATGTTTGGTTCAGCAAACTAAGTTTCAATGGAACTCCAAGCACAGTGTTTATCAAGCAGAATCCACTAGTGGTATGAGTATTCAATAAAGTAATTGTGAAATATTTAAGATTGTATTTGTAAGTGTTGCATTATGAAGTTCTGTTTACATTTTCAGTCATAAGCAACACATAATGTGTTATAGTCCATATTGTTAGAGCATACTAAAGAAGTCTGACCTTCACAGGGGCCACTTCCACTGTCTGTACATCTTTTTTGAAAGTTAGGCGTATCCTTTACAGGACGTTGCAGAACCAACCCCAACAGCCCCTGGCTGTTGTGTGGTTTTTCTAGGGAAATTTATGTCCAGTAGTTTGCCATTGCTTTCTGGACGGTCAGCTTTCTTGATACCACTGTCGAAACCAACGCAAGGTGCATGGCCCGTAGCTGGGATCGAACCCGGCATTACGAAGCGTTCGCATGGACTTAGCCACAGAGCCGACTTTTTTAAAGTAATGTGCTAATATAGTGTAGTGTTTATTGCCCTCTTGCGTGTTGATTATGTGCACCCTTATATTAATAAAGGAGTTGAGAATAAATATCTATGAATTGGTTGTCTTTTAACATAGAGACCAAAACTGTGTTTAAAAAAAATATTGAATGGAAATAGACTACAAGAGACAAGAAGAAGAAGTTGGTGGAGAAAAAGGCGGACCTATAAACATTGGGAGTCACCAACTGGAAATAGAAGGCCAATCACATAGATTAAATTGTAGGAGGGGATATATACAGCAAAGAACCTAAAAGTTTGGAGTAGTTTGGAGTGCTGAAGAAAAAATTATTTCTTGTCCATAAAAGTTGGTTTTCATATAAATTTAGATAATAAATGTGATAAGCTTAAAAATAAATACTTGTGATATTAATCAATAGTATTTTAGTTCTGCAGGAGTTAATCACCTATGTATCCAATATATTGGTATCAAAGACATCTTTGGGAGGTGCAACATGAATAAAATCGTTTCAACAATAAATGACTATCTCTCAAATAATATTCTTCTTCTTCGCTTCCTCTTTTTCCCTGGTGGGTGTCGAGGGAGATTTAAAAGCCTTGTGCTCTACGTCCTGCTTCTGGCCGCATCGACCATAGGTGCAACGTGCTGTTTGTAATGTGTCTCTGATGTTATCTTTCCATCATAAATAATAACTGAATTATTTTCACATGTATTTCATTATTTGGAATCATGATCATCATCATCATCATCAAGTGCCTTGCCGACTGGCGTGAGCGATCATGCCTCTCCACAGTCTGTGATCCGCAGCTGCATGTATCAGTTCAAGTGTTGGTACCCCTCCATGCCACAACAAAATTCTGTCAAGAATTTTCCTGTGCTGTTTTCCTCTGTCTCTCTTTCCACAAATCTTTCCAGTGGTCACAACATGTTCCATTTTCCCTTTTCTCATAACATGACCAATGATGACTGTCTCTTTCTGATGTTTTTGATAAGTTGTCTTTGAACACCTGTCTAATTCAAAACATCTAGGTTACTTTTCTTAGCTCTCAAAGGAATTCTAAGGACTCTTCTGTAAAACCACATCTCCAAGGCTTCAAGATATTGTTCGCCTTGTTTATTAATTGTCCAGGATTCACAGCCGTATGTTAAAACCAACACTTTATAGTTTGCGAGAATTCTTTTTTTAACCTCCAATGACATGGATTTCTTGCACAAAATGTGATACATCTTGCATCGGATGTTATCCATGTGCCCAGATACTTAAATTTCTGTACTTTTTTTAAAACTAATGCCTTTGACTCTTATTATACATTTAGCCACTATTCTTTTCTTATCTGGATTAGATGAGTTAAAAATAAAGAAAGCATAGTGAGTAAGCAAACAGTAAATAAAAGATGCTTTTAATGTCACTGGTGCATTGTGTATATGATGCCTGGATTCGTACTTTTTAATTATATACCAATTGATAGTTAGTTAGTTAGTTAGTTAGTTGGGTTATCCTCATTGCACTCCGGACATGTCCATAGGTGCTCAGATCCTCCCCTCAGTATGAACCCCAACGTCCGATGGCTAATAGTACCAGTTCTATGTTGATTAACAAGTCTTCTGGCGTAGCTGGTGTGCGTCTCGTTTTTTGCTGTGCCGATCTTAATTCCCAAGTCTGCCATTCTGGCGAGTGATGTGGATTCACTGCCACCAAAGTCCTCTATTCTTCCCATTTCTCTGAGGGCATTGATAATATCAGCATGATCCATAGGCTGACCGTCGGTAGTGATAGCGGATCCAGCCAACCTGTCAGCTCTTTCATTTCCATTGACGCCTGCGTCTCCCGGAACAAAAATAAAGGTGACTCCACGAACAGTGGACTTCTGTAATGATTCAAGCCATTGTCTTCGCACTGAACCTGCCCGAACCCTCCGGATCATACTCATTGAATCACTGAGTATACACACGCAGGTGTATTTTTGTGTTTCAAGCCAGGCAAGCGCTTGTGTCACTGCCATCACCTCCATCGTCATGCTGCTGGTTGTCATGGAGAAGGCGCCGTTGGCTTCTTTGACTGTTCTGCCCGCTGAGCGTGCTGTAAATGCCCATGCGCTTCTTCTTTGGCGTATAACGGATCCGTCTGTATAGATTATTGCATCTGCTTCGTCTGAATTTTCACCGATGAGAGCGTTGACCTCTGCATTAACAGCAACAGGATTCTCTTCTCTACATCAATTGATAATCGATGGGTAATGGGGTCAGCATTATGCCAACCACCTTTACACTTCATCTTCTTCACATCCTCTTTTAGCGCTAGATTTAAGGTTCTGCTTCTTGCTCTTCTGGCTGTTTTGACCATAGATTTATCATGCTGTTGAAGAGTTTCTCTAATTGTATCTTTCCATCGTGTTCTTGGTCTGCCTTGAGCTCTACATCCTTCTCCTCTTTTGGTGTATGCCTTGTATGGTATGGCATCATAAGGCATTGTCTCTAAGTGGGAAAGTCACGTGATCTGCTGTCTTTGTTTGTAATTTAGCATTGGTTCTGTGCCGACTTTTTCCCTTTTGACCTCATTTCTGATATAGTCTTTTCTGGTCACTCCTGCAGCTCTTCTCAGACATCTCATTTCTGTGGTTACTAATTTTCTTTTATGGTTGGTTTTGAGTGACCATGTCTGGCACTGGTAGTATAGAGTTGGAATGAATATGCTTTGCTAACTCTCCGAATACTTGATTTGCTTTACTGCATCTAATGTTACTTTCTTTATCCATATTTCCATCTTTGGTGAACTTTTATCCAGATATTTAACCTTTACACTACAGGACATTACTTAGTACACTTTATAGCTGGATTGACCTTGGAGCCAAGGTCAGGTTCCGAAAAATCTGACTCTGATGAAAATTCACACCCAACACTTTCAAGCCAGCATCTAGCCACTATATTACCCCAGCTCAGAAATATTGGGAGAATAGATAAAGCTGTTGTTTATGTTGTGAATCAAGTATGTTTTCTTTTTGTTGCTGTTTTTTTTTCAGTTTGTAAGTGGGCAAGCGAATTTGAGCTTAGGATTGGATGAAATGATAACCCTGACCACTTTGTCTGAAGGAGTGAAAGGATCATATCCTCCACCTCCCTCTTCCAAACCATTTCCTCTTCCTTACAAGGATAACTTTGAAGGTAGGTTTTCTAAGTCTGCAATTTTGCATTTTCTTTCAATGTTTTTTACAATGCCTTTCTTCTTCTTCTTCTTGTTTATCATCTTCATGTTCACAGGCTGAAAACTCCAGCAGAAAGTTCTGGTTGTTCACCCACTTTTAGAGTTTGGTCTAGTTCCAGGACTTCAGTGATTTGTGCATATCCCTTTTACAGATGTAGTTTATTTGTTTGCAGACTGTTGGTTGATTGCGATTCAGACATATACATTCCAACTTTGAATGAAAGGAAAGATGGAAGCTGTGGTGTAGCGGCTAGATGTCGCTTGTGGATCGGACTGTCGTATGGTCGGGTCCTGACGGAGTTTGACTTTTTAAAAAATGATGTTAGCTCCTAGGTCAACTTAGTCTTTAGTGCATACTGAGAAGTAAAGGCGGCCGGCAAATCACCACCACCCACCCTGAAATAATGATTGATTTGTCAAATACAGGTCTGGCCCTATATGCATAATAAGCCTGAAGACATTGAAAAGAATCCTTTACTTTTATTATAGGAAGGTAATTTAAATAATCAAAAAGAAAATAAATATTGCTATTATAGGAAATTAATCTAAAGAGACATACTGTTGTTGATAATATTTGTAATTATGTCATTTGTAATTTCTGAGCTATTTAAAAATCCAAATGAAAGGTATAACGATTAATTTTTACAGGATATTCATTGTCTGAAGAACCATTCATGCTGGCACCACAGATCGGTACTTTAGAAGTCGTTAAGTCTCAAAACACATCACATGGCCAGGTTGTCCGTCAGATGGTTCTACATGCTCCTCTAAAATGGTGTCCTATCACCCTTAGTTTTCCTTATGCTGTTATTGGTGATCACAATTGGTAAGATCTACAATTTGATAAATTCATTTACTTGCTTTGATATTCAAAACGCATAAATGCATTTGAATATAAATGTTACAGACAGGTTCTAAGAATATCTTGGGTAAAGAAAAGAACAAATGCATCCATACTTCAAGAGCTGAATATTGAAGAGGGTTGGCTAGTAAAGACAATAAAACAAAGAAAATTGAAATATTTTGGTCACTTGAAACGTCATGGAAGTCTAGAGAGAACAATAATGGAGGGGTATATGCCTGGGAAGAGAGGAAGAGGAAGGCCAAGGAGAAGATGGGTGCAGGATGTGGCAGATGATCTCTAGATGGGTGTATCAGACGCAGGACATCTTGCTCATGATAGGAAGGTTTTCCGGAGGGTTGTTATGGCAGCGAGGTTCCGCGAGGGACATGCTACTGAATAAATGAATGATATTCAAAACAGCATTTTCTTGTTGTGGATTTTAAATAATAATGACTTATATGAATATATTGCACAGTTTATTGCCTAGCCTATTTCGCAGTATCTCATCTGGTGAATTACTTCATATTTTGCATAGGCGTTTCTTATTTTTATTCTTCGTGTTCACGGGCTGTAAACTCTGGCAGAAAGTTCTTGTTGTTCTTCCACCTCTGGTTTTTGGTCTTGTTTCTAGAAGCTGAGTGTTGTGTACACATCCATTTTACAGATCTGACTTATTTGTATGCAGACTGTTGGTTCCTTGCCTCCCAGGCTGATGCACTGTGACTTCGATGGGAGCCCCTATTAGTCAACTGTTAAGACATGCTTGTTGGAAAGGCTGTGGGTCTTTTCTTGTTTCCCTCAAAAAAGAGTGCCCACAGAACCCACACAGAGAGTATAAGCACATAATAAGATCATTTTGAAAGATCCTTGGTATATCATACTGAGACCACATTACAAATGACAAAGTTCACTGTTACATTTTTGACTCATTGGCAACTGTAAAAAGACAGTCACTGCAATGGTATAAACATAAAACAAGATCTACCGGCCTCTCCAAAATGATATTTCAGGGCTCAGTAGAGGGGAAAGGTGTAGAAGCAGACCAAGACATGGAAAGAGAATTAGTCTGGATGGAGAGGCCTCAAACATACAAACATCAGGTCTGTTGTATCTGACTGTTCAGACAGTCAAGAGCAGCTGGTGACCCTGTGACAGACAGTGTTATGGAACTGTGATGGTATAGTGAGTAGAGGTTCTGCAAGTATGTCAAGATGAAACCCCTAAACAGATTTTAATTCTTCCATAGCATGTCTTTTACTTGACTCTGGTTATGTGATTAATAGGGATTATTCCTTTTGGTTTATTATTCACACATTGAACACGCACCAGTTAATATTTGCAGAATTAAGGGGGCAGTTTCACGTTATGCAAACAAAAGGATCACATTGTTAATCTTACAGTTCCTTGGTTTTTATCATTGGCTCAAAGTCAAAGTAGCCTAAATGCAATTTTGGCAGTTTTTACCCAAGTTCATTTCCAAGGCTGCGATTTGTCAGTTTATAATATGCCAAGGGCACACATGTAAATACCTACTCCAGATAGGCCAGAATCTAGTGTAACTGTTCATGCAACTATTTTCATCTGATTTCTCAAAGACATCTCAGCGTTCAAATGCAATTTTCTCAAAACAGGGACTTATGTGTGTGTGTGTGTCTGTATGCATGCATGCCTATATGTATTATTTATGTACGTATGAGTGTGTGTGTGTGTATGTATATGGGTGCGTATTTATGTGTGTGTAAGTGAGTGAGTGGGTGGGGGTGTGTAGAGTGAGTGGGTGGGTGGGTGTATGTGTGTGCGCTTCAGTGTGCGCATGCATTGTACCACCCACGCTTTTTTTTTTTCTGCTGTGTGAAAGATGGGTGTATGGAAATGGCTAAATATAAGGTGGCCTGCATGCCCAATTTTTGACCCTTTGAAAATAAAGTTTGTTCGTTCGTTCACTTCCTTTAGACAGTAAATGCAGTTGGCCCTTGACATTGCCTCTACACACCGTGGTAAGTGATGTTCAACACAACAGGACCGCACCACGAGCGACCAACACCCGGTGACACAAAATGCCACCATTTGGGTGAGGATCACCCGGGCACAAGTCCTAGAAACCTCATTTAACCATTAGGTTATATTAGGGCCCCCAACCACAGCCGGGGTTAAGCTTTAAAATAACACCACAAAATAAAATAGTTTGCATCCCATATTGGGATGGACAAGTAATAACACACTGCGGTAGTGGAGGATTGTTTATGGGATAGGCATTCGTTCACATAGTTTGCAGTACAAATAAAACATATCTTTGTTTAAATGAACGTGTAACAACACATACCATAAGGCTGTTGACCACACATCTTTCTTTTACAGGAGAAATTTGTTCATAGAAATTGACTTTGAAATTCCGGATGTGAATGCTACAGATGGTGTATTTGTTGCTGCTAGAGTTAATGAGGGAGGCTGCGAAGCATTTATAGCCCATGGAATTTACTTTTTTGCATTTCCGGATGCCCGTTACATTGTTGCCAATGATTTAGGTAATGTTGACTGCTTTTCTAATCTCTTGTAATAATATTGTCTGTGTTCAAATATTTTTCCCTTTAGTTTTGAGTGCACAACCATTTTACAGATCTGGCTTATTTGTATGCGGTCTGTTAATTCCTTTCCTCTCATACAGATGCACTCTGACACCTAGGAATAAACTAATTAGTTGCCTTTTACAACACGCATGTTGGGGGATAAGGGGGGGGGGGGGGGGAGGGGGCTGTGGGCCTATTCTGCCCCTAATAAAATGGGAACCTGAAACACACACAGGGGTAGTTGGTAGTAAAAGAATTGATAATGAACTGAAGAGCTTGAATAGAGAAATTACTTTAATGCTATAAAATAGGCAAAAAAAAGCAAAGAAAAGCGAAAGTCGAAGAAGTTTATAGTAAACTTAAATAGTTAGGAAACAAATGATAATATAATAATACCAATATCATTAACATATTAATCAGAATTTTCACACGACACACAAAAATGATGATCATGCCTAATTGAGACCAAGCTCCTTAGAAAGAAAAATCGAGGTGTTAGTGTGCTAACTTGCCAGTACACTGGCCTGGGTTCAATCCCAGTGATAGAAGATTATTGCCTTCCCCATGTGGGTTCCAAGGCCCTAGCTGGGGGGTGCATGGGGGGATTGACCAACTACTTCCTTAACACGCATGTTACGAAAGCTGGCTAATAAAGGGTTTGCTAAAGTTGTTTTTGCTAAGCCGAAAGGTGCAGTTATAACCTTAGATGTAAAGTATGACACAAAGTGCCAGCTGCCCTTTTAAGGGTCACCGCAGGAGGAGGAGGATTTGTCCCATGCAAGCCATGAAAACACTTTGGCAGAATCATGCTTAAAGGGATGTTTTCTTTGACAATCTAGTTTTTGTTTTTGGTGAGAGCCATATAAAGTTATGCCTTTATTACATACTTTCTTTAATTTCCCTAATGCTTTGAGAGCTTCCCTCATGTGTGTGGGTTTTTTTACAGCGAGAACTAAAGTGCTTAGCCAAGGATCTCTACCTTATGGTAAAGGATGGCATACACTTTCACTGCTTGTTCAGGTGAGTTCACTTATGTTATAGACTGAGCTTATTTAGCTATATATAAATGCCTTTTACACTTTCCTGTCCCAGACGCATACTTTCTTCTTCATTGCTTTCACCGACTGTTAGCTCCAGTGGAAAGTTCTGGTTGTTCATCCACCTCTGGATTTAGACTTGTTCCAGAGCCTGAGTATTGCGTGCACATCCATTTTAGAGATCTAACTTATTTGTATGCAGACTGTTGGTTCCTTGCCTCTCAGGCAGATGTATTCCAACAGAAGGAAACCCCAATTAGTCGACACTTACAACATGCTTGTTGGGCAGGCAGTGGGTCATTCTTGTTTTCCCCACAATGGGGCCCTGGAACCCACACAGGGATCTTCTTCATCTGTGTTAGTCCTTAACTTAAAAGGGTCATTGGCACATTGTGTTGTTTACAGATAGGCTGCAGTATATGCATTTTTTTGGCCAAACATCCAATTTCAGCAAGCTCCTAATTAATCGCTTTATATGATGTGCATGTAACTAGGTGGTAGGCCTGTTTCCCCCCCCCCCCCCCCCCCCCCCCCCCCCCCGCCCTCTACCTAAACAAATGGGGCCCAGGTACCCACCCCAGAGAACCTATATGACTTGTTATGCCATCCTTTTCTCATTATCAGTTTAAATCCTGTCTGTCCCAAACACCATATCGTGCATGATCAGTTATTGTAAAAAATATGTAGTGTGTTATGTATTGCAGTAAAAATGTACACTGATAATGAGTAATTTGACAAACATAGTCTAGAGCTGGTTATCTGAGTCAGTTGACACATCGTAGAGTGAAAAAAGCTAGCCAGCTGACCAATTTTACTGTTTGTTTTATTGACTGACTCATAGTTACAATTAAATGTGTTAGTAATTCAGGAGCCAGTACAAACAGAAAACTAGAATAAACTTACTTAGTTGCTCCTCTTCTACCTAGGGGTGTAGAGGTTTGCCAGAGAGATGGCAGGACATTTCTATCAGCAGTTTTCTTTCTGGCTTTGTTCCATTCCAGACCTTTCTCAATTAGGGACTGTCGGTTGTTGTCTCCCAGCGCACCCTGGGTCGCCCTGGAGGTCTGGTTCCCTGGTTCTTAGCCTCCCATGGTGGCCGATTTTCCCCCATTCTGCAAACATGTCCAAACCATCATAACTGTGACTGATCCACTCGGGTTTATAAGCACTAGGTATCAAGATCTTAACGTATTGTCTGATTGCGGACTTTGTCCCTTCTTATCACTTGGACCACCCTTCTCAGATATCTCATTTCTGAGGCCTGAAGCTGGCTTCTGTAATCTGTTGTCATTGCCCATGACTCACACCCATAGGTCAGGACTGGCACACAGGCAGAGCAGCAAACAGCCATTTTCATCCTCTTGCCAATTTCTCTTTTGTTAAGAAACCCTCAGTTTATAGCCTGGAAGAGTCTCCCAGCAGCTGCCTTTCATGTAGCCAGCTCAGTTCTAATGCCTCCATTTCAATCTAATACAATTAAATATGTTGGTAATTCAGGAGCCAGTACAAACAGAAAACTAGAATATAAAGTTTGTTAAATGTACCACTGCCATAATGGAGGTTGGCTGCCATCTGCATAATTGAGGTTGGCTGCCATCGACATAATAGAGGTTGGCTGCCGTCCACATAGTGGAGATTGGCTGCAATTAATAAACTGCTAACTCTAGGAATATTACATGCTGAGGCCCCACTCTTTTTCCCCTATACCAACTCTCATATCATTGTCTGAAAGCCACGAGAACATTGATGATTGCATTATGAAATGATTTCACCAACACCAAAGCCACAGAGTTGCAATCTGCATGAAAAAAATACAGCTGTATCATATATCCTGCTGATAAGCATAGGCAGCTATAGTTTGCCATCCAACGCGATCTCCAGAATCATATATCAAGTCAGTGCTCTTGTCTTGGCCCATTCATGTGGTCAGGCCATCAGCGTAATCTCTTTATGTTACAGATTCTTCTTCTTTTTCTTCTCGTTCACCAGTTGTAAACTCTGGTAGAAAGTTCTGGACTGCAGTCCTGTTCCAGGACCTGAGTGTTGCGTGTGCATCAAATTTACAGATCTGACTTATTTGTATACAGACTGTTGGTTCCTTGCCTCTCAAGCAGAAGAACACTGACTTTGAAGGAAGTTCCCAATTAGTCGACTCCTGCAACATTTATTTTGGGTAGTCAGTGGGTCTGTTCTTGTTTTCCCCACGACAGGGCCCAGGAACCTACATAGGGAAGTTACAGATTAAATTAAAGCACATTAAAAAATGTAACAATTAAGAGAAGACAATAATAGATTTCATAATGCTTATTTTTTAATTGAGGAGCAACTGACCAACGGTTGGAACAATGGGCTCTCAGCGGGAAACCCGGGTTAGAATCCTTGGTAAGGCTGAGGATTTTTTGTTATTGTTGGGGGCAAAATAAAATCCTCGCCTGCACAGTCGTGGCAACCACGCTAGCGATGCAGCCATAAGCCATGCAGGCTCAGACCCCCCCCCCCCTTCCGCCTACACCACAAAGTCAGTTATTAGCAGTTTTTTTTTTTTAAATTAGCACTTGTTATGTTTTTTGCCCCTGAACCACCCGATTCACTCCCTCCCAGGCAAATGGACTGCCCTTTTCATGGCAGCCCAGGACCCCCCTCCCTATTCACAGATACCAAACAAGAGAAATTACTACCCGGCACTTAAACTGGAAATCTGACAACCAAAAAGTTTTAAAAAAAACAAGAAATAAAAACCCTTGGTATCACCACAAATAAAGCGAAGCCCCCGAGGCATGCTGAACTTGGTACCCACTTTTTTCAGTTCAATTCAATTCTGCCCCAAACAAACCGTGGTTGGCCTTTCATTTATGCTTGGTGAACTTTCACATGCACAAGTCCGTATTACAGGGGTGTAAGGTTGTGTTTTCTTCAGAGAGCTTTATATATTGCGTGTCGTGTAAGAGGTAAGCTACACATTGTGTTTTACTTGTTGTTGTGAATGGCCGGGGACATTGCATATATTATAGTTTTTCTTGGGCATGAAATTACTTCAGCTGTCAGCATTGATAAGTAGAGCAGGGATGCTTTTCTGCAGCAAGACAGCTTTTTCACCGGAAATTCTGAAACCACAGGATATAGGCTGCGCTCTCTCGTGAGATGTAGGCTGAGGCTCTGGGGTAGGGGATTGGTTAGGGCTAGTTCTAGATGTTGTGGGGTCTTTAAAAGGAGTCAGATTGTGTAATATAGAACACAGGATATTGCCGGTGATTGCATCGAACGTGACACAGGACATTGGCTGCACTCTCTCTTGGCATGTAGGCTGAAGCTGTGGAGGGGGCAGGGGGCGAGGTTAGGGCTAGTTCTAAGTGTTCTGTAAAAGCGGTTACATAGTGTATTATAGAACACGCAACATCGCTGGTGAGAGCATCAAAGATAACGCTACATGATATGATACCCTTATAACATAGACAAGCGCATGTGAAAGGTCAAGAAACATGAATGAAAGGCCAGTCACAGTTTGTTTGGGGCGAAAAACTTAAGAAAAACCATTTTTTTTGTTTTTTGTTTTAGTCTCGAGCTGATTGTTTAAATCTTTATATTATTTTATTGTTTTAGCCTCAAGCTGATTGTTTAAATCTTTCAGGAACAAAAAGCTGTTGGCGCTTATGACAAAAAAGGCCTCTTCAGTATTGATATACCCACTATTCCACAGAGTGGATTTGGTGCAGTTGGAACAGATAATTTTGGCCTAGCTGATTTTGACAATTTGTACATTGCTACGCATGAAGAGGGACGAGCTAAGATGAAAAATTATTTTAGACACCATGTGTCTCAATCACTTTATTTTATCCATGAGCAGAATTAGTATGTCATTGGACCTTGTTATATTTAACTCAGGATCCATATAGATGTTTTCATTCAGTATTTTTAATTCTCTACTTGACAAATCACAGTGTTTGTAATGGTTGAATGTATGTTGGGAGAAGGGATAACTAGATACTTGCCTTCTGGCCTAAAGGTCTTGAGTTTGAATCTGCTTCAAGATGGATTTTTTTTTAAATTTGACCTAGACTCACAGGTCAGCTTAGCCTAAATTGGGTACAGTGCAGACCTGATAAGAACTCACCGTGGACCCAGAAAATGGTTCTTCTTATCAGAAATTCCTGTTATCCAGATAAGAATTCAATCAAGAAAAATTGCCAGGGATAAACAAATTGTTCTTTACAACAGAAATTTGCCACATCAGAGATCATGTTAAGCTGTCTGCACTGTACTAGGATAACTGCTGGGAAGTAAAGGCAGCTGGCATGGTGTTGACTGCATCGCCCGTCAAGTGCTGAACGGTTTATAATAATATGGATCCACCACCATATGATAGTGTGCTGTTGGCATGAAAAGGATCTTTTAAATTACTTGTACTTGAACGTTTGTTAATTATGCTGTTTGGTTCACATATCCGTTGAAAACTGTCCATGAAATACAAACAGGTCATAGGATGTACATTTCCTGTGTGGGTTCTCGGGGTGGGGGGAAGTAGCGCCACTGCCCATCAAGATTGCAGAAGAAAGAGGACTTACAATTATAAAATCAGGCCAAACTAACAATTGAATATTATTGCTTTTTGCTTTCGCATTATCTTAACAGTGGTCATGATCATGTCTTGTCTTCTTCTTTGTTCACCAGCTGTAAGCTTCGGTAGAAATTCCTGGTTGTTCGTTCATTTGGACTTTGGCTTTGTGCCAGGGCCTGAGTTTTGTGTGTATATCTGTTTTTGCTGGCTTATTTGTTTACAGCTGGTTATTCCTTGCCACGCAGGCAGATGCACTCTGACTTCGAAGGAGGTCCCCAATTAGTCTACTCCTACGACATGTTTATTTGGGAGGCAGTGGGTCTATTACTTTTTCCCCCAACAACAGGGCCCAGGAACCCACACAGGGAATGTCGTTTCAAATGGCTTAGTCATTTATGTCTCTCCACAGATCTCAGTCCTTGCAGTTCTGGGCATATTCCATTGAAGATATCCCTCCATACCACCATCTTGGGCCACCTAGCATAATTTCTCTCAGTCTGCCTCTGCCATCATTGAACTTTTCAGTTGTCATGATATATATAATATTCTTCAACCCTCCCTCTCATTATATGATCAACAAACACTGCCTCTTTGGTACAGTTGCACATAATGTTTTTATTAGTCTCTTCCACACAGTGAGTATTTACTCTGACAGCCTTTTAGTACATTCATCCCAAAAACTTCATCTCCACTGCTTCACCATCAGTGTAGCAGGTCCTTTGCAGAACTTAACTGTCATCACAGTCTGCCTGAAAGAAACATGGGTCTCTCATCAGCACCTCTACCTAGTGCACTTTCCTACACAAAGTGTCACTTATATCCTCTGCCTATCTTCATGCTGCGGCGTCCGTGTCTCAAGCGTTGCGAGTCTGGGCTCTCCTGTAAACTACGGCCGGTAGACAACATTTGACGGCCGGTTAGTCAGAGTTCTGTCCCTTGGCTGCAGTGCAATTGGAGAAGGCACGAATCAAATAACATAATTACTGTGTTGGCGATAGCGTGCAGTGACCTTCTGTCATCATACGGTTAGGGTTTGGGTTAGGGGTAGGGTTTAGGTAAGGTGTAGGGTTAGGGTTAGTGTTAGGGTTTGGGTTAGCGTTACGGTTAGTGTCGCCGCATCTCGTCTTCGTAGAAACTCAACATCGCAACCCTAACCTAAACCCTAACCCTAACCCAAACCCTACCCCTAACCCAAACCCTAACCCACACCCTAACCCAAACCCTAACCGTATGATGACAGTAGTGCACTGCACGCTGTCTATCGCCAACACACAGTAATTATGTCACTTGTTTCCTTCCCTCTAATCTACTCCGTAATGCGTCGCAAGAAGCGGTAATTGACTGTGGTCGCTAATTTGAGTCGCGCAGTGCGGGTTCTGCCAGGCATGTCGACCTAACTTTGTTGGTTGATTCGTGCCTTCTCCAGTCCGTAATTGCACTGCACTACTGTTGTCTACCAGCCGTAGTTGATAGGAGAGCCCGAGTCTGACTTGTAATTCCAACATACCGTGATCGAAAACCACTGCTGGCTGAGTGGATTTTTATCATGGTTTTGGGCATTGCAGACCCTGCCTAAAATGGGTATCAGGATGTATGTTCTGGGAAAGTAAAGACTGCAGGCGTAATGCTGACCACATTACCCACCAAGTACCGATTGGTCTAAAAATGTGGGTGCTCTTCCCATATGCCCGATGTGCCTAAAGGCGTAAATATTAATCTTTACCATTTTTGTTTTGTTATACTACAAAATCATGTTCTCTATATTGTATAAATACACATACATTTATTTATGTTGCATAACTTCTAAGACCATGTGATTTAAATGCTCTGCAAGGTTGGTTTCATTCCTATTAATTAATTGTTTTTTTTTATTATTTGTAAATGCATATGTGTAGAAATATATCTATTGTTTTGAAACTCACTCTTTAATTTCTCCATTACACTCATGTATATATGAATTAGACAGATGTCAGTAAAAAAGTATTACTATGGGTACATTATGAAATAATTACAGCATCCACTCCTCACAGAGGAAGCCCAGATAGCAAAGTCGCTAGCATTTTTGCCTGCTGGTCTAAAGTTCTAGGATACAAATCCGCATCTAGACAGATTTTTTTTTTTTAAATGGATCTTGGCTTCTAGTGCAGCTCAGCTTAAAATGGATACCAGGTAATGTCCTGGTGAGTAAAGACTGTCGACTGCTGATTGCTGTATAAAAATATAAGTCTAGCACTTATTGCCCATTGTGCCTAAGTCTTGAAAAGGGTCCTTTATTTTACTTATTCTTCATAGATAAGGTTACATTTAAAAAAAAATCAGTTTGGGTATAGACATTTCTGTAATGTGCCATTGCATTGCTACTGAAATAATAAAATATAAAAATTGTGTCCATAGTGACTGTGTCTTTATCTTTTTAGTGTTCACTGGCTGCTAACTCCTGCAAAAAGTTCTGGTTGTTTGTCCACTCCTGGACTGTGGTCTTGAACCATTATTTAAGTTTTACATGCACATCCATTTGCACAGATTGGGCTTATTTGTATGCAGACTATTGGTTCCTTCCATCTCAGGTAGCAGCACTCCGACTTTGAAGGAAACACCTGTAATTAGTTGCTTCATACAACCCTGCTTGTTAGGGGTGCAGTGGGTCTGTTTTTTGTTCTCCAAAACTGAGCCCCAGAAACCACACAGGTAGTTTATGTGTAATGAAGATATCATAAATTAAATTAGCTAACAAAGAGGAACAATTACCCTCATCAGAAGAGAGCACTCCACATTCTTTATACAGGTCATGGTTTAAGAATCAACACAACATCATAGCATTCAGGACATTCCTGTGAGCACTAAGTCCCCATCTTAAATAGCGATTGCAGAGCTCTACTTTTGATGGTACCAATAGCAGTTTGATTATATGTCCATCTTGTCTTTTCTCAGAGTGTAGAGTATTCTCTGGTCACTCCACACTGCATTCTTCTCTCCAGACAGTAATAATTTATTCATGCTCCGGCATCGTTCATGTGTCGCTGAAGGGCCTTGACCACACCTAGCTTGTCATACCTGCATGACATGTCATAAGAAGAGAGAAACTATGCTGTGTTATGACATTAAGAAAACTGGAGAAGAAAGAAAAAGCAGGGGAGACTAAGAGATGTTAGATTGTTTGTGATTATATCATGGAGCAACACTGTATCAGACATTACTGGTAGTTAAAAGTTAGTTGCATATCCTTTACAGGACGTTGCAGAACCAACCCCAACAGTTTTTTGGCTTACATCCAGTAATTTGCCATTTCTTTCTGAATGGTCGGCTTCTCAATACCACTGTCGAAACCAACGCAAGATGCAATGCCCGCACCTGGATCGAACCCGGTACGCCTAAGCCATAGACGCCGCTAGTACACAAGCCAAAAAAGCTGTTGATAGACATGATGGCTAATGTTACATAGCATGAAGTATAAGAAGACATCCAGCTTATTCTTTATAAGAAACACCAAGACAACACTTGAAATATTTTAAAATGCAAGCACATGAAAATGAACACTAAAGGAGCACTGTTCAACACAGTATTCTTACCAATGCAATGATATCAATGTCAAATAGACACTGTCTTCACAAGACAAAAGAAAAATAGTCACAACAGAAATGAAATGTTCACATACTATGCTAGGTGTAACAAGGAAAGATCGACTTAGGAACGATGACAGCAGGAGGAGAGTCAGCACAGAACCAATACTGAACTTTATCAGTAGACAACAGATAAAATGGTTTGGCCATGTAACAATACTGCACCTACAGAGAGCAATGCTAAGCAGATACAGCGGTAACAGACCCAGAGGTTTAGCGTGCAGAAGATGGACCATGGAAATATTGGAGACACTGAAAAGTACTATATATAAAGCGAGCAGAAGGACCCATTCCAGAGATCTCTTCCTCCTTTGACCCTGCAAATCATTCCAGGAGTAGAAAAAAAAAAGAAAAAGAAGATTAAAGATATAAAACTCAAATAAAAACCACACTACAAAGAACAGTGATGCAAGTAGGAGGATAACATCAAGAAATGGATGAACAACAGTCTAAAGGGTGTATCCAGGGTAAAATAACAGGTGCAAAAGGGAGTGAGGCAGGGGTGCATTCTCTCACCATACTATTCAATATATAGGCCTATGTAGAAAACATAATCAGAAATGTAAAACATGACCAGGCTTGTGACAGTTAGGATCTGCTCATAATTGGCGGCAACTCTATTCCAGAACTTTATTATGCAGATGACAAGATCCTCCTTTTGAACAGTGTAAAGGG